CGCTGACGGCGGGTGCTTTCTCCCCGTGCCGTAGCTGTGTGCCCCTCGGACCTCCAGCAGCTCTGGAAGGAGGTCACGGCCGCCCAGCCCGTCGAGGACAGCATTAAGCAAGAGGGTCTGGACCTCACCACCAACACCTCCAACTCTACCTCGTTTTCAGCCGCCAAGGTCTCGCCTCCCATTTCCCATCACCCTCTGCCCAATGGACAGAGCACCATGCACACGCCGAGAAGGGACAGGTAGAGCCGGGCTGAGCCCCAAAACTTTGTGCTTTTACCCCCAGAGAGGTGGAAGGGGCTGGGATCCATCACCCAGGGGCTCAGGGCGGCGTGGGGGGCGTTCCTGCCCACCCCGTAAATAACTCCCATTGCTGTTTCACCACGTCTGTGTGCCCATGGAGGGCAGGGAGACATCGCTGCGGGGTTTCTGGCGTGTCCCCGAGAGCACGGGAATGGTGGTGGCCCCGGCTGATGGTCCTTTTCCCTCTCCTACAGCTCTTCCCACGAAGAGACCCCCAGCTCCCACCCGCTCTATGGCCACGGAGAGTGCAAGTGGCCTGGCTGCGAAACCCTCTGCGAGGACTTGGGGCAGTTTGTCAAGTAAGTGCTCCCTGTTTTCCAGGAGGTTTTCTCGGAGGAGGGGAGAGCCCACGCTGGGACACCCCAGGGTGGCGGAGGGGAATACACCCCAGAGATAGATCCGGACACCCCCAAGACCTGTGTGCCCAGGGCCCCATGCAAAAGGAGAAAACACCCCAGGGGTTGTTGTTAGAGGAGAAAAGACCCAAGGCAGGGGCCAGGAGCTGGCAGCAGGCGAAGGGGGTTTGCAGCTCCCCTCCTGGGGGGCGAGAGGAGGGGAGGGAGCAGATGGCGGCGGCAGCCCACTGACACCGCTTGTGGGCTCCGGCACTGACTGATTAACTCCGTTGTCGAAGAGCCCTCTGCTAGCGTCAGGGTCAAACAAATTGTTTTCACGCTTCGTCAGAGGTTTACTTAATTAGTTCATTTGCAATTAGATCTCTTTGTAGCCGGGATTTTTAGCAAAGACATCAGAAGGAACTGACGGGCTTGCTCTTGCTCCTTCCACCCCCCCACCTCTCTGGCTGTCTGCTCAGCACGGCCGAGATGCACCAGCACGCACTTCGCTCTCCATCGGCGAGATTTCAGGTTTTTACAAACCAGTCCTGTCCCCTGCCACACACTCAGGGCTGGCTCCAGTGGCAGCATCCCTCGGGCCCAACCCGCCCCCCCACTCC